CTCTCTCTTCCAAAAGACTATTATTTGCCTGACAAACTACACTGTTTCTACCCAGCCAATATGAATAAAGAAGCATTATGTTTCCTCCTGGGGCAGAGAGCTTGGTTCAATGAATCAGAAAACCCTAAAAAAGACTGTCTACCCTCAGTCCATCCACTACTGGACAATTACTCAAGGGCCAGCTGTAAGGAAAACAGATGGCGACTGAGCCCTAATGACATGGGCTCCCTCCACTCGGGCAAAGGCAGAAGCGGCCGATGGCATGTTCTCACACGGAAACCGCTTGGAAATGGCAGGCAGAGCAGTCGGGTGGTGCGCGACTTGGGTCTGAGGACAGACAGATGCTCACGGATTTTACAAACGAACCTTTCATTAAGTAGCTTTAACGCAGATGCCACCCCAGTCACCCGCCGTCCATGGGAGGAAACCAAGCTCCTGTCCGCAGCCCCTGCCCGCAGGTTCCTGCCACAGAATGGGTCCAGCCCACCTGAGATGAGGGGCTTATCTGGCCACGTTTCCCAACAATTCATGCCTTCTCTCCTTAATTGGAAAAAGACCAGAGAAACGGGGGAAGATTGGCTAATTAACCGATTTATGACACAGGATCTCTGTAGAAAGAGACCCAAAGACACATCCTCCATTCCACAGGCACCTGGGCCTGGAAAGGGACTCATTCCAGCCACTTAAATTCCTTTAACCAATTCAGATGTGAAGATAATCTACCCTGGTTCTTTTCTACATTATTGACACTATTGACTACCCCCAATCTGCAGCACCATCTAATAAATCAACCCCGGATTAAGACAAGAAGGAAAAAAAAAAAAGGGTGATACAATGCCATTTGTCCCCCTGTAAATCATCAGACTGAGCAACACAAGCTGAGCCACTGCCACGACAACTGGACTCTCCTGCACGGCCATTATTGCTGCGGCCTACCCAATGCTGCCCAAATTCATCACCGCGGCTGGTACACAGCGCTATCCCCCCAGCCTGAGCGTGAGAGCCAGTTCTTCCCGGGTGATTCTCTGCAGCGAGCACCACTTTCTAATTAAAGACAGAAAGGGTTGATACGCAGGTTTCAGTCCAATTGCTTTCGATCTGAAGATGTCCACAGTGAGCAATGGCTTCATTTACCAGGAATTACCCTTTGTACAAACCACTTCACTATTTAAAACAAACCACATGGATCATCATTAAGTGGGAAAAATTACCAATCTTAGGATATTGACAGTGGCATGGCCCACTTTAGAGGTCCCTCTCCCCCCACCCCCTTAAATGTGGATTTTAAGTATTTGACTTGTTGTTAAATTTCTGCTGATTAAAAGGTTCTGAGGGAACAGGTCTTGGATGAGAAGCGTTCTCAGAACTGGAAGATGCTGATGGAGGCTTAGGAACGGGGAAAACTAAGTTAATGTGCTACTGATCCTTTTTCAGGAGTTAGAAGTCGGTAAGAAATGCAGCCCTGGGGGGGAGGGGGGAGCCTGTCATGTGGTCTGCACGGCTGTGTCCTCCCCAAACCTGACCACCAGATGGGTGCTCTGTGCTTGCCTCCAGGTGACTTGGGGTAGAAGTGCATCCTGAGGTTCGTGTGTCACGTGGATATGCGTGCACGTGTGTGCCTGTGGCTCTTCTCTATTTTCCTCTGGGAAAAAGCAAACCAACAAAACAAAACAAAATAGATCCTCTTTCTCTCTCTCTGGTCATCAACCTCCAAATTTGGAATTCGAATTTAGAATTCTCCCTCAAAGCAAGAATGTTTAAATGAGTCCCCACGTTGGCACACTGGGGAGCTTGTGTCCTGGGGATATGTGAGTTTGAAGTCCACTTGAGGGAAGAAGATCTGCCATCTGAAACAGCAGAATGAAGCCACTGCAGAGCATAAAGCACGGAAGTTGAAGCAGGGGACTGTCCCTGGACACGAGGTGCTCCAGGGATCACTGACTCCTTCCATCTCAGAGTGGCCTGCGACCACGAGCGGGTGCTCTGCACTAGAGGTCCACATCATGCACCTGCGTGCTCTGCAGGTGCATGGACGCAGGGATGATGTCCCTGGACCCCACATCTGGATGCCGAAAGGACAACATCATCCCATCTGGCAGTTCCCAATGTTGGTAACACCTTGATTGTTAAGATAGAGAAACAAGGAGGAAAAAGGGGAAGAACGGAACTGTAACTGGAAGAAAACATCCATCTAAAGGAAAGTTACTGGGAAATATAAATAAATGAAATAAGTCAAACAATGCCAACACCAAAGTTGCCTCCGCGTTGGCCGGAATAAATAAGTGATTTGTGGCAAAAGGGTTATGGCATCTTCAGCTGGTCACCCGGAGAAGACGAGTGTGCTGAGGCATCCTGATTGATTTCTGCTTTTATGGGTTGTCCTAGGCACAAATCCGGGAGAAGGTAGGAAGAAAGGCTGGGAGTTGGGATTGGGGCAAAGAGAGCCCACGATGAAGTCATTTTAGATGTGGAATAAGAAATAAGCCCCACATGGAACTCAATTCCAGGAAAACATACTTCAGTAGAGACTTGGTGGGCCCCTGATCAGCATGTGTGTATTTATAAAGCACAGAGATGAATGCTGCAAAATAAGATGGCTGTGTTTATTTTATGAGATGTGGGTGATTTGAATGACAAGGATTTCTGAAATATGTCTATTTCTAAATAATATAAAATAGAATGTTTCCAATGGAGATGTTATTTCTCACAAATGCTGCCTGATTCATTCATTTGGCCAACATACTTTGCGATTGCAGTTTAGTTCTCTGTTCATCAAAATTAGAGATACAATAGCTATAGATTAAAAGCAGATAAAAATGAAGTGGTGATGGATGGGCAGATGTGTCATCTGTATCGGTGAGCAGTGCATGGAGATTAAAGTGAACTATTTCACACTCTTAATCAGCCAATTGTCTGATTTGCTAAATAAAAGCAATAGCATGAGACTCAGACGCAAACCATCATGACAGTCATGGCCAGAGAGATGACCCCCCCAAGGCACATCCCTCCTGCTCTGAGGGTAAGCCTTCAGGATAGGGGAGAACTGCGGCTAGAAAACTTGATTCTAAATAAGAGAAGCAAAAATAAATGCCTGCCTGCCCTACACTTCATGCATTGAGTGAAAGCCAGAGAGAATACACACCACACACACCCTGTTCTGACACCATGTCTCAGCATCATATTATGATCTGTTCACTGAAAGCATCACAAGTCTTTTCAACAGGGGCGGGGGCCTTCCCAAACCCAATTCAAAACCCACCTTCCATCTACCTTCATATGGAAGCGCCATGTTGATTTAGTCACTTCTAAATATTTGTTATGGCTGCCAACGCTTCCTGTGAGCCCCCCTCTTTCCAGAACCGGGTGTTCTCCCTTGGGGGAGAGACTGCCTAGAAGAGGCTCAGAGTCCTTGTGTTGATCCTAGATACTCCTCGTCCTTTTCCTGGCAAGAATAACCTCTCAAAGTCACTCGCTTCTTCCGTAAGTTGTACCTAGATGAGCAGACCAGTTTAACCATTTAGAAGGCAGAAACTCCGAGGAATTAGACACACACATACACACACACACACACACAAAACACATTCATAGCAAAGACGCAGAAATAGTAGAAATAGATAAATCATATGATATGTTATCAATACACTCTGGAGAAATGTTTCCTGTCATGATGTAGTAAATGAGAAAAGGGCAAAAAATAGTATTTAAAAGGATTAACCAATTTGTCCCCCATTGAAGGCTGTTCTTAAAAAGATTTACAATGGAAAAAATGCCAAAGAAATATTTTCTGGAGGCAACCAACTTGATAACAAACATCCAAATGTTCAAAACAAAACCCTGACATTTTGTGAATACACAGATTCCTGTATCACAGATTGAAACTGAGGGTCTTTGAGGAAAGAGGCCCCTCTCAACTCTTGCAAAGGAAGTTCAGTTAGCACACAAACACACATTAACAAATGGTACCCTTGGACCAGTCAACAGAAAAGCAGATAAAATGATCACAATTTCTGCAAACTTCACAGAATGGGATGGGGCTCTTGGGAGGCTTCCATCTGCATGACAAAACCCTTCCGACCCTGCCAATTCACACCCACAGCCCTTGCCCAATGCCAGGGCTGGCTTGTCACCCACAGGGTAGTGCTGAGCTAATTCCCAAGCCTGGACCAACTCAGGCAGTGTCCCTTCTAGTAAGAGGGAGAGACAGAGGCAGAGAGGGTCCCAGGGAAACACCCAGAGAAAGACAGCCACACATCTGAAGGTTCTGCAATGTGTACGAAATAGGAAATAGAGCACACACAGAATCCCCCAACCAGCCCACTAAGGGGGTGAGGGGGAACTCAAATAGACAACAAATAAACAACAACAACAACAAAATACCTTTCTACATGCTACAAAGACGGCACCCTAAACCGCTCACCTTCCTGGAAGCATTGCCAATGAGTTTGGAGACAGATTCTGGGGCTGACACGCTCCAGAAATCCTAAGGCTCCCATCCCATGTGCACTGAATATACAACCACACAAACTTAAGAAACAAAATACTTCACACACACACACACACACACACACACTTTTTTATTTCACTCACTCCCCATTACATCAGCTGAATTATCAGGCACCTGGAATGCCTCCACAAATACCCAAACTCTCAGCATCAAAGGGGTCTTAGGCTCAGATAACCACTGGACTCTCTGACATGAGAAAAACGCTATTAAAAAAAAAAAGGGCAATTTTCCATGATTTCAACTCCGGGTACCCAGGCTCAGAATCCGGATCCGGAATCCGGCAAAGTATTCAGACAGGTGCACGGGGGTGGAAAAAGGCTGGCGCAGGGCGTCTGGGCTCCACGGAGACCACGGGCTCCCTCCCACCCTTGTCCCCGTGGCGTCCCCCGCAGGAGCCCCTTCCCAGCCCCGAGAGGCGCCCAGTGCAGCCCGCCCGACGCGGTTCCGAGCCCGGCCCAGCGGGCAGCAGCCCGAGAGGAGACGCGCGCCGCCTTACCTGCTGCAAGTACATGAAAGTCAAGGCACACGAGAGCTGGGGACACATGCCCACGTTGGGGAGCGCCACGCAGGTGGCCCCCGTCAGAGGATGCTGCATCCTGTCTCCCGGGCGCCCGCCGAGCACGAGTGGGGACGCTCGCATGCACCCGCCTCGCTGTGCGCCGGGGTCCTACGGTTCTCCTTTTCTTTCTTTTTAATTTTGCCGATTATCTAAGACAAACCCGCTCGCTCTCCTCCCCCCGCCGCGGGAGTCCCTCCTCCCGGCTTCCTTGCCTTCCCTTGGCCGGATCCTGCGAGCTTCTGCCTCCAACTCGGACTCTGCTCCGCGAGGAGCGAACTAGTTGGCTTCCCTCGCTGGGCGCCGCTCTGCGGCTGGGCCTGCTCGGATCTGGCTCAAAGTGCCAGGTCCCCCACCCCACGCCCCCGCCAACACGGCCAGCCCAGCCCCGGCAACTTGTCGGAGAGGTACAGGGGCTGGGAGGCCCTCCCCTAGCGCTGCCTGGAAGGGGTTAAGGCCGGGCTGGGGGTGGGGGAGGCAGCAGGGAGGGGAGGCCGGGAGAGAGGAGAGAATTTGACTCACACTGAGGCTCACTCCGTTGGCGCGGATGCTGCGTGTCTGCTCATTTGTCAAATGGGTCCAGGGGCAGGCGTGCGCTGTGTGCGTGTGTGTGTGTGTGTGTGTGTGTGTGTTTCTTTTTTTCTTTTACCCCCACCCCCTTTCCCCTTAGCTTTTTTCTTTTCTTTTTTCTCTTTCTTTCTTTTTTTTTAACGACTCACCCAAATTTAAATTGTGTCTGCTAAAAGTCGCCTCCCTCGGGGAGGGCGGGCGAGCGAGCGTGCGCCCTCCATCACCAGCATCCAGGCGAGCTGGACCATGAAGGCGACTGCCCCGCTGGGACAACCCCCCCCCCCCCGCCCCCACAGTCGGAGCTTTGGGTGGCGGTTTGTTTGCCCGACTGGTCGGCAGATAAACACAGAAAAAGGGATTCCCCTTTGTAAGAAGCCTGAGCGCACAGCCGCCACCGGGGCAGGGCAGCGGGCAGAGGGGCCCCGCCGGGACTCGGGGTACAGCCTTCCCTGTGGCCTCCCCGAGGCTGGGCGGGCAGCCCTGAGCCCCGCCGCTGTGGAGGGGAGAATCCGCCCAGGCTGGCGTGGAAATCAAGCCTCTTGCACTAACACGCCGGCTCCCGATGAATGCAAGGGGGCTTCTCCCAGCCCAGAATCCCCACTCTTCTCCAATTACAAATGCACAGGGTGGGGAAGTCCACGTCTGATAAGAGATTACTAGTCCGCTGCAGCAAGCAAATTACAATGGTTTATTTATTTTTTTTCCCCTTTTCCTGGCCAACCCTCCTTGGCCAAATTAACATTCTGCTCTTGCAAGCGGGTCTCCCCCCTCCCCTTTATTTTATGAAGTAATAATTATTCATTAGTAGATTTCGTTAGTCTTTGTGCAATAAAATATGATGTGATCTACAAATCAAAATAAAATATTAAGACTCTAACTCGTCCTTGGTCCCCACGGGAGAGAAAAAATTCTTGGCAAGAGTAAAATCATGATCAGGAGTAGTAGCCATATATTTTTTTTAATATAGATTTTGACCCAGTGATTAGATTTTCTTTTTTATTTTCAGAGTATCAGATCAGCTGCCTGAATGGTATCTTTTCTGGTTGTTGGGCTCCTTGAAATACCTTGCTGAAGCCGTGTCCCTACCCTGCAGGATGATAGGTCCATTCCTGAGAAGAGATGGGGCTCTCTCAGGAAAGAGCATTTAGAGCAGGACCTAGGGACTGTCCACCAGGGACATCTCCACTGATCCCTCCCTGGGCTCACCCTCACCTCCCAGCAGAGAGGTCAATGCTCTGAACTGAGTCTTTGGCTTCACTTTGCAGGCAAATCCAAATGCTTTCTGAAGAAAAGGAAATTAATTATTCCAGACCTCTATTTTGTGTTGTTCTGTTGTGAAATGCCATCAATAACCATAAAATCTTTACTATGCCAAACACTGGGCCCCAACCAGACGGCTTCTCCTTTCCACCTTGCAAAAACAATCCCCAACCACCCTGGGGGCTCCCACATCTCATCAGTTTAATAGGTACACTACACAGTAGCCTGTTTAAAACCCTCCAATCCCAATCGGAAGGTGATGGGGGAATCCAGAGACTATGGGCTAGTATTTTGGGCTGCTTTGGGAGGGAAGAGGATGGCTGTGGTTAGTTTGAAAAAATGCTTGCATGTGACCTCAGAAGTCAGGTTCCTCACACAAGCTCTGATCTACAAATGAAGGGGTTCCTCCTTTTTTTCCCCTCTAACTCTCTTTTATTTATTTATTCTTATTTTGCAGTTCACAAAGCCAAAGAGGGGAAAAAACATTCTTAAAAAAGCCACACCACAAACACATGGAATTAAAAACCAAAGATTCTGTCTTTCCAAACCCTTTCCATTCCTTCCTCTTGCCCTAAGCAATTTGCCAGATTGACAGGCATTGGCCAGCTGACATTGAAAAAGCCCGAAGTGCCCAGGAAAGGACAGGATTTTCCCTTCAGCTCATTTTCATGAGAAACGTGATAAATAATACATGGCACTTTAATAAGACCTTATCTGAGTGATTTAATGAAAAACAAATACATTATGTAAGGAGCCAATAGCTACTCTCAGCTGCCCTGATCCAACACAGATTTTCCAGCTCCATTTCCTCCCAAACTGGAAAACCGCTCAGTGCTGATTTGATTCCTACAGACCTGCTTTGCAGTAATGACTCAGACTTCCCCTTAAACTTCGGTCTTCCGAGTCAGGTCCACTGGAAATCTGTAAAGTAAAGCATCTAGACCTTCCAAAGCCACGTCAGGATTATCCAGAGCCCAGATCTGTTCTCTGGACAACCAAGCACCAAGCTTCCTCCCAGAGCAAACCAAGCACAGGAGACCAGTGCACCCACACGGGAACACAAAAAGGGGGCACAGGGGCCATTTCACCATGGATGACATCCCAGTGACTCTCAGGAGAACAACATCAAAGACCTCCCCCAGTTCAAACAGAAGCACTCCATCTGCGACTATTATTTTTCTGTCTCAATGAGAAAAGTTTGTCAGCCTTTTCGGCAGCATCTGGGGATACAGAATTTGAATTCCACCTTAACAGAGTACCAAAGAGCCACATCAATGCCTCTTGCTCTGGAATGAGCCTTCTCCATCAATTAATGGGAGAAGTGGGGAAAATAAATAACGCTTGTCTCTCTCTACAAAGAATGCCTGGGCACTCCATGTCTACTGGGTGTGTACATTGTGTGTGCATTCAGGGCTGCCCTGGCCTTTGAGCTGCAAAGACCGTTAATTGGATAATGGTTACACATACCCATAGGAAGCCAAAGGGTGCAGAAAACTAGCAATGGATAATATCATCTTCTAATGAAGGCAGCTGCCCAATTTGGCTCACACAATAGTACTTGTAACTTTTTTCTTTCTCTGATTTGCCATTGATTTAAGAGAGGAAATAGGTTTTATTTATTTTTTCTTTTTCTCTTTCTCTGTTCCTTACGGTAACTTCCTAAGGCTGTTAAAATAGCCAACAGTTCACTAATGGATGCTTTCTATGGAAGTTGCCCTGCCTCAGAGCAAGAAGGATTCTACTCAGACAGGAAGAAGGACTTCTTGATCTTAATTACACTAGAGCCAGCTCAGTGGCAACTGCCAAGATGTGTCTTATAAGTATTTTAGTCTGACTTCCAAATTTTAATGTGGGTAACTACATAGTCTCAACCTTCAATAAAGGGAGAAGGAAAGTATCTTTATAAAAACTCGTCATGTATTATCTCTGTCCTAGGTACTTTGATTGACTTACTTGTTCAAACACTTGAATGCTATTTAGTTATTATTGACCTCATCCCAGGTGCTGGTCTAGTCCCGGGGGCTGTATCAGAGGGGAGAGCAAGGAAAGAGCTCCGATATCAGAGCTTACGTTCTAGTGTGGGGGAGGCAGAAAATGAACTACACAGATAAGAAATAAGTAAACTCTGCTGCATGATAGAGGATAATGGCTGCTGCCGGGGTGGGGGGAGGAGATCAGGATCAGGGATTTGGGAAGCCAGGAGTGGGCAGGTCCCAGTGAGCACCATCTAAAAAGTGCTTGTTGTAAAAAAAAAAAAAAAGTAGGTTATTCTTCAAGAGATCCCCCTCACCCTTGCCCTTCCATTTTGGTTGCCAAACCTGAAGAGCTGTCTAGTATATAAATTCTGGGGCTGTCTGTGGCCAAACTACTAAAATAGCATTGGGAAGCTGGGAACTTCTAGTGGTGAAAAACCAGAAATATTTTCACCTGCAGCTTTGACCACTGGACATGCAGAGTTTAACACAGTGCCTGACATACAGTAGGTACTTGCAAAATACTGAATTGCTGGGCGGATGGATAGATGGATGCAACAGGAATTTGGACTAAATGACGTCTTGCTGTCTCTGTCTGCTCAATGAATTCAAGGACTGAGTTTTGTTTTTTGCTCTGTCTATGCTCAGCCGGTCCCCAGGCCTCTAGAATGGGGTCTCAGCTCCCAGTGGTTCCTCTGAGCTGTTCTGCAGTAGCTCTCTCCTTCAGATCTAGCCCTCTGGGAAGCTCAGGCTCACTCACAGCATCAACTCAGGGAGCTGAGGGTGCAACATCCCTCCAAGGAGCCCCGATCCCTCCCTCTGAGTAGCAACTGCATCTCAGGCAGAACCAGTTCCAAACACCCCGTGACAACTGCCTTGCACACAGTGACAGAATTGAGGATGGAGATCAGAGTCTGCTTCTGTGCACGGGACCCTCAAACTCCTTGAGCTTTCTAGCCTGAGTCTGGGTTGTCAGTAAGCCCAGGTCTAAAAGCAAGTCGTGCTTGCAAGAACAGAAACACAAGCACGGAGGCTCCCAGCTAGCTCTCACTCATTACCAAAGCTCTTTTCAAAACTACCTTTCTCGGGTGGAAGCCTTCTCCTTCCCCAAAGACTGACAACCTGTCCGTCAACCAAAAATGAATTAAGTAAGTGAAATTTCCACCAACAGTACCTAGGATTGATGTAGCTGTGAAGAAATACGTAGAGTGAGAGTCAAAATTGTTCTGGACCTGGAGATGACGGTTTGGCCTTCATTCTCGAAACTTAAAATGTGTACATCTTTCCAGGTAGCTGTTCTAATTCTAGACATTCTGTTCTGCTGAAACACTCGAGATGCACACAGAGACACATGGACCAGGGTGTTTACTCTAGGCTTCTTGTAAAAGCAAACAATCAGGATCAACAGGGAACGGGTACTAACAAAGTCATTGAAATGTGTACAATGGACCTGTTGAAAAAGAATGAGGGTCAACTATGTGGCCTTCCCTGGGAAATTTTCTAAGAAAGATCTCTAAGAAGTTTCAGAGTACATGTAGGAAAATTTCATGTTTGAAAAAGAAAGCAAGT